CTGCTCCCCTCCCCTCCTCCGGTTCTATAGGTGCTGCTTCGCTACCATCCCCCGGTTCTACAGGTGCAGCCCCAAAGCTTGCACTGCTCCCCTCCCCTCCTCGGGTTCTATAGGTACAGCCCCAAAGCGTGCGCTGCTCCCCTCCCCTGGTTCTATAGGTCCTGCAGAAGCGCCCTTATGCCTGCGTAGTGCCCGTTAATACTGCCGAACCTCATCTTTTGCCGGCTTTTTGCCTGTTCTAGCAGCCTGCCTTTTCCAGGTTGTGGTTTTGGGGTTTTTTTGGTTGGCTGGTTGTTGTTTTGGGGTTCCATCCCCCACTTTTTGATACTGCAACACCTTAGGAGCGGTTGCCCCAGGAGCTCGTCGCAAAAGTTGCAGAGAGTATTTTTGAAGCCTGAGTTCTTTTCCTGTTAAAGCAAAGCAAAACTTCATTAATTTGATGCTGGTACTCTCCTTGTCCTACTTACTATGGCAAATACTGCCGCAATAATAAAAGCAAGGAGAAGAATTAAGTGGCCGACACAGATTCTGCTTTTTTTGGCAGGGCTCTAGAATACCAGCGAGAACCCTGGGAAGGAGAAAGCCATTTATTTAAGTGACACAGCAAATGCTCTGGCTTCCCATGACTCAACAAAATTCCACATCTCCAGCAAGGACTGCATCCTTCTCAGAAGGGGTGTGCTGCAGTTGAAGCCCCTTTTTGCAAATATTCAAGCTAACTGGCTTTGAATGGGCTGTGTTCTTGCAGAGTAATTGTGATTTTCACCATCCGAGAGGGAGGGTTATGAACAAATCTTTACAAATAAAGCTGTAGCATTCTTACTGAATACTTGCAGTAGGCTTTCAGCATGGACTTTGGGGATTATAAAAAGGTGTTTTTAAGACAGTTCTTGGAGCACAGTGAGGTAAAAACTAAAGTGTGTCCCACCTTCCCCCCCTTTTTTTCCTCCTATTCACTCAGCAGTAAACATCAACAGTGCAAGAGAGGTCTGTTACCTAGACCTGAGTTAATAGCTCATGGAAAATATTTCCAAAGGTGCTTTAGCATTTTTATTCACCTGAATTAACCAAAACCAGAGTGCCTAACAAATGCACTTATGGCTGTTCAGAGCCACAGCGTGATGGTTCTGCATCCAGGTATATAGCATCCCACTTGATGCTGTGATAGGATGGGTGACTTGCTTAATACAGTGCTGTCTCTGCTCAGAGATGAAGCAGCTGATCCAGCTTCCTGAAATTTTAAGACCTGTCTCGGAGTCTGTAAAAGGGAAGCTAAAGCGGATGAGCACTTCCACTGTAACTGGATCTGTTTTACTGGTTACTAGAATGTTCTTTTCTGTATTTTCAAGGAAATGTGTTTAATTAGCTGTCACTAAAATCTTATTTTTCAGAGGTTCAGAAAAAGCAAACAAGACTACATTTGAATTGAAAGAGTTCAGAATTAGCAAGAAGTGACTGAACAGTCTTACCCTAGTTCCTTAGCTTGAACTGTCAATTTTAATTTAGGCATTGTTATTTAAAGCCATGCAAAGACAAGGCCATGAATAATTAAGACAGTGGATGAAGCGAATATGCATTCTTAAGAAGCTTCTTACCTGATGTAACAAATAATAATGTCCCGTCTTTCTGCTCCTTTCAGAATGATACAGATCTTGGACCCAACACCCTTGCCAAGCTCCATCATGCCTGTGGACGTAGCCATGAGAATTTGCTTAGCCCATTCTCCACCACTGAAGAGTTTTCTCAGCCCCCTTGAGGACTGTCAAAGAAAAAACTTTGTGAACAGATTCAAACCTCTCAGACCGTGTCTTCATGTGAAACGTGACTCTGAAGCTCAGAAGAGTGACTGGAACGACTCGGCAGCCCGAGCCAAGAAGCGAGTTGTGTTTGCGGACTCAAAGGGGCTGTCCCTGACAGCCATACACACCTTCTCCGAGTTCCAGGAGCAGCCTGGGTGGGATCTTCAGTTTGACCTCTTAGGCCTTGAAAACATAACATCTGGCTTAAAACTACATGAGGAGAAAAACTTGATTCTGGGTTTCCCTCAGCCCTCAGCTGACTACCTGGACTTCAGGAACCGCCTGCAGAAGAACTTGGTCTGCCTGGAGAACTGCACCCTGCAAGAGAAGGTGCTGTCGGGCACTGTGAAAGTAAAAAATGTGAGCTTCGAAAAAAAGGTTCAGCTTCGAATTACCTTTGATACATGGAAGACCTACATGGACATTGAGTGTGTATACATGAACAATGTTTACAGTGATTCTGAAAATGATACCTTCTCATTTACCATTGACTTGCCTCCTGCCATTTCCTCTGAAGAGAAGATAGAGTTTTGCATTTCTTACCAAAGTAGAGAACATACCTTCTGGGACAATAACGAGGGTCAGAATTACAAGATTGTCCACGCAGAGTGGAAGCCTGATGGTGTTCAGATACCATCTGCCAAGAAAGACTGTGTAGATCTTCAGACTCCAAGGAGAGGACAAGAGAGAGAGCCTGATGAGCTAGGCAGTCCGAGACTGTCCAGTGGTCTCTTTCCCCAGTGGCAGAGCTTGGGTCAGATTGAAAATTCATCACCATATTGGTGATCGATACTAGGGAGGAAGCATTCTTCCGTTTGGCAACAGAACAGTGTTAGCTTTCTGGTTCACATACTATGTGACAAAACCACCTGGCAGGTTTTGTCAGCTGTCTGAACAAATCCAAATTCACTAGTCTGTGGGACTTGTTAAACCATATTATGTTAATGAAGTTCTTAGCCAAAACTTATCCTTGGAAAGAAAGAAAACCAAGATAAGACCGACGCATATGCCACCTACTATAGAAATAGCATGCCCGTATCTTAAGTATACGCTGCTTGCTTTCTGCTGTAGACTCTCCTGAGTCAGCAGGTGAGAGACTCTTGTGAGGAAGTACAGAAGGCAATGGTACCTTTGCAAGCTGTAGTAACTGCATGTGTGAGAGTATGTGTGCATGCACAGGGACGTTACATGAGCAGAACATCACAGTTCGTTTTGCACCTAGTGGGAGTGCAGTAGAGATGAGGTGATGCTGTCAGGACGGAGGCTTGCTGTGACCCTCTACATGCTGGTAGCAGAGGCAGGGAGGAATGCATGGCTAGGATTTGTGGCTT